AAAATATTTCATTATTGTGCTCAATTAATTTATTGGAGGTGTCTATGGCTTCATTAACCAGTGTTGCTATGTTAATTTTATAATATATTCATTAAAATTAAAACGAACTCGTAGTATAGGTACTATAACTTTAAATTAGGTAATTTAAATATTACGAGGACATAACATGTTGTGTGCCGCTTATCATTCGTTCATGTTATCGTATTGTTAGTTTTCCTTTTAATAATTTAAAATTATTTACATTAAAATTTGTACATTTTTGGTTGATTCGATAATGATCTGAACTATTAAAAACTCAATTTTTTTCTAATAGAGTTTATCCTACTGGTTAACCTTGGCTCGCTGGCCACGCATTTTATCTTAGTTATCTATTGGCTGCGTAGTTAAACAGTTATATACGGTATATCAGTGCTGTAGGAAATAAAATGAATACACGCATACTTAAGTCAATTATTTATTTCTTACATCATATACCTACTACGAACCTAATCTTTTAAGAGACTGCGTTGTAAATAAAATCCCGCCTGGTATATCTTGGTATTAGGAAGCCCATCTAATGTCATGGTTAATCGCCAATGTAACATTGACCTTGTATAGGCCGCAGGTATTTCATAATAAATTGAAATATATTATGGCATTGTATTGTATATCATTAATTAAACTTGTAATTCAAAGTTAGGGTAATACGTGCTACACTGCTATTAGGCCGGTTGAACAAGAGTCCTGTCCAATTTTCCTTTCACTGGAGAGTCGTCAATGTATTTTTTTCATTAGTTAGCTTCAGTTCATTTATTTGACCCATCTCTATATACATATAAAAATGAATGGCTGAATGTGTTGCTAAGCGCAAATCTCGAGAACAGCTGAACTGATTTCGCTAATTCTTTTTCTAATATTCCTTGAAGTACGAGGATGGTTGTTACGGAGAGAAAAATTTTAAAAGTTGCCTGAAAAAGTCTAAAAACAACACTTTCTTCACAAACACTTCCTTCTTTAAAAACAACAGTTCAACTCTTCAAAAGGTTCGTAATAATACTTAAAAGTCATTTTGAACTTTAATACCATAACATAAAGTTTAATTGTTAGTGAAGGGGTTCCGGGAAGGCAAGTGAGTGACTGTGGTTAAAATGTCACTTAAAATGTAAACGTCTCTTTGCTGTGCATCACTACATAGTACAAAACAAAGTCGTCCCGCTGTCTGTCTGTCCTTATCTATGCTTAGATATTTAAAACTACACAACTGATCTTAATGCGGTTTTTTTTAAATAGAGTGATTCAAGAGGAAGGTTCATATGTATAATACATTGCATCCGTGCGAAGCCGGGGCGGGTCGCTAGTTAATTATAATAAATCAGTTTTATCGTAAACACTGCCTCAATGTTTTAACATGTTATATGTACTCATTTTATACATTTTTAATGACATAATCATACACATGAGGCATAATTAGAATCGAGATAGAAAGGAAAAGTCCATTAAATTTGATTATTAAGAAAAGAATCGATGTCGATTCATTTTATTACCATAATTGCCCGCGCTATCGCTTTTATTAATATACGTTAAAATCTTGGTTTTTTTGGCATTAATATTGCTATATGTTTTGGATATAACTGAATATTTTAAGGCTTTTTTTTCAGGTATTCTATTTTTTATTATTATAATAAATGTCAATAACGCAGTTACGTGATTTATTGAGCTTGATCAATTCGAGATCACCTTGATTGACCTTGGTCGACGGTTCAAGGATAACTCTCAGTGATTGTAAAAATTTTAGGAAATGATTGTTTACGAATTAATCGTTAACGTTTTTACAAAGTTTCGATTTTGGCTTTGTATAAAGGTTTTATAAAGTATACGGAAATGTGCGATTTTTTAATGACCTTTCTGTGAAAGCTGTTCTAAGTGCAATAAGATTTCTCTATAACATTGTTTTTTTTTATATCCATAATAAACGCCAATTTTAGTAGAATAGATGGATATCAAATCCAAAATTATCCAAAAAGCATCAAATAATTGCATTTGGGACAATCAACTGTACTTGGGTTCTTGTCCGGGCGACCTCTAAAGGCACCTTGGATGCGAGTGTGTTTTTTTTTTTTGAAGAAATTAATTCATCTCTACTCTTCGACTACACCAACCTGTATGATATTGCACATATTGTCCGTAAAAACAACAGTAAACCTAAAACAAATAAATAAATTGCATAAAATAAATCTCCTAACTTGCGGGGAACTAACAGACTAAAAGTATATTTTTTTAAATTTGACTCTATCCAACTATTGACATGGAGATGTGACTATTTACTATAAAAGTACGTAAAGAAAAATGTCGTTTTAGCTGATTCAATTGTATTGAAAAGTAAACGAACTGAGATTAAATTCAAAGTATAAGTCAAAAACAAACGGTTTATTTGGTTGGTAATTTCGCTAACAGGCAAGCTGAAAATGGCTTTGAAAAACATGTTAGTTAGATCACAGGCAATAGTTCCTCATGGCATAACAGCCCGTTGCCAGCTTGCGCTAATTGTTCAAACCCTCGAGTGATAATTATTCGTCCGTTTTTGCTAATCACTTCTCGTCAGTGCAACCTCGAACATTGTGTTAACATTGAATGTTTTTCATTTAAACAACCACTACTTGTGAGTGCCTTTAGACACATGAAGTCGATATCATTAATGGATTTAGAAACCGTCAAACACAAAATATTGTGCAGAATCAATAATTTATAAATTTTAAAAAAGAAATTTACAAAAATGTTGTTTTGCAAGACTTTGAATGAGTTTTATTAAAATTTACGTTTTTTGAAAATCATCTCGGATGAATTGAATTACGGAATGCATTTTCAAGTCTCGTGTTTTATCAATTTTATTTCAGGTAAAGTTGCAGCTCTAGAGACTTGAGTCATGCAAGTTTAAAATAAAACGATATTAATTAGGAGAAAAATCAGGGCAGTTTTTTGTATTTACGAAACTAATACAGAATCGAAAAAATAATAAACACTTTGTTAAGTACTGGTATAGGTGGCTAGTAATAACTGCTTTGCAATGACAACAAAATTAATTAATAAGTACAAATTAAATTTCGTTCTTTCACCGTTTAACATTTTTCGTCTCATATGCGCGGTAATGCACGATAACTTCATGGTTAATGAACTTTTTAGGCTCTATTATGAAACGAACAAACTCGAATGCCGTCATAACAATCCCGGTAACAAAATGTATCACATTGCTATAAGTGTATTACATAATGCGTAAGTATAATATAGAACTTGAGATTAATGAGTGCTAAATGTTAGCTAAATGATTTATTTTCTACACTATAGTATAGCTTGATCGTGACTAGAAACAAAAACAACCTTTTGTTATTGTTGCTGGAACGTTCTCGAGACCAAATCGAACATGGTTGTTGCACAATACACCCCGTTATAAGTAGAAAACTGGATCACTGGGAACACGAGTGGAAAACATTGACGTCAGATTACTTCCAGTTCGCGTTAATCAGCGCGGGATTCCCGTGAGCCACTGTTTAATGTAGGGCAAATACACCAATAAAAGAAATAACTCTTTGTATATTGTTTATTAATAAGCTACTACAACACTAAGGTCGTCCCAATCTAGATTATCTATGGTAACTTTAATAACGTTACGTTATCGTAAATACTAGCTGACAGCAATCAAGCTAATCCCAAAAGTCAAATGAACATCACTAGTCAGGTTATTCAGGAGCTAGTAAATGAATACTAAGAAGATGAATGTTATATTATTTTGCTGTTGAGTATGCATGGAGAATACATTAATTCAGTCCGTTTTTATATGCTCGTACTTTTTTTAACATATAACATTCACAATTTGAATAAATAGATACACAAAGGCATTGACTTCATTTAAAGCGAAATGCCTTGCCTTCAACAAGTGTCTAATAATGTTTAATCAACACAATTGTCAAAATTAGCCTATCAATTGCCGTTGGAAATAACAATGAAACAAATCGAAGCGAAGGTCTTCCCGGTTATTTGATCATTTATTGAAATAATGATGAACGTGCAAGTAAAATCTTCCTGGGCTATAGTTAGCGACATTATACATATGTGCACGCTTCTTTAGTTTGTCCCACAAATAGAAAGTGTATTATTTTCTCGCTCTAATACCTACCTTAAAATAATATAATGCATATTATACACGGTAATTATGGTTATACATATACAAATAATTTTTTTTAAATAAAATTTAGTGATTTATGTATACAATGTTACTTTGATAGTTACTTATTTCATCTGCAATCTGTATGTTCTATATAACAAACAACTGACTTTGTACAAAATTGAATATGATAATTGTTTTTTTGCAGTTTGTTATTTTGGTGGTTTGTGGTTTTGGTTTTTCCGTTCTTATGAAATAAAAATCATATTTTTACGGAATGTTGCTCAAGAATACGCGTGATCGGTAACAAAAGTTGTTTTTTGCAGTTACAAACTGCAATAAAAGGAACCCCTGTGCGATATAACAAAAAATATATTTTTTTAAATCTATAGGCACGCGCAAGTCGTTTCACATCCGGTTTGATTGAACGTACTGTTTGTACCACAATACAGAGTCGTCACAGGCCTTGTCGGGCGAACAACATAGGTTTGAGATTTTTTTTGTGGGTAAGCGAAGTTTACAAATTTACATTTTGTACAGTACACCGTTAATGACCAAGTGATATACAATGATTTTCGGTGTACGATCATGAATCTTCGCAATGAAAACAGACATTTACATTTTATTAGTCTGCTATAAACGTAGATCAGACCCTGAGCTTGAGGGCAATCAAACTCTTCATTGCCCAGTCATAATAGAGAGTGCGCCATGGCGCCTTTTACTTCGACTCGACTGCGACATCCGTCTATACTAACTTTCGACTTTTGTTATCGTTTATTTGCTACCTTTTCATAGTTCTTTTATCGTTCGAAAGCATTAACTTAAAACGTGAGATAATTATTTCCATATTAATATAATATTAATGTTAATTATCGCCTGTCAATTTATTTCGCCGCCACCTCTCGGTCCGCGGTCACAATCCGCGGCGTCGTCTCAATCGGGGCCTTCGCAATTCGGTGCGAAGTCGCTCCACTTGCACGAGAGCGAATTTCTCCGTGCCGACGCGTCCAAAAGAAAGCGAATGCATAACGGTACCGTACCAGTCGGCATGATCGTCCCGCATATGGGGACGGGCGTTCGAATGGACGAAAGTGATACGGGCCCTCCCAAGCCGCCGTCTTTCCCGGAAGCTTTGATGATACGGATTGTGTTGGGCTAAATCATGTTGGTGAAAAGTTAATCTAGCAGCTATTCAAACTCTTTTTATATTAAAATTGTTTTTATAATATATACACGGCTACACTCTATTAAAAAAATAAATGCATGTATTTTAATGGTAACTTTATTTCAAAAGAATCGTTCGTTAATTTTTAAATTATACCTTATTGAAAAGAATGAAGGTATAATTTGACTTAGATGAATACGCAGTTTAGTAAATTGTTTTTGAGATTATAATATCGTTTATAACAGCTACTTCAAGCTACAGTTTTATCTAATTAGTTATCATAAAAGATTTAATTAACGTAAACCGACTGGTACCCTACATTTTGCTCAATTCTTTTTATTAATATTTAAAAAGGTTTGTTCGATTCATTTTTATAAAATTAACGATTGGTGAACAAGAACGTACGAGGAACGAGGCTGAAGAGTGGTAAAAAATAATATGTTAAGAAGTCGACGATCAACGGAAAACAAATGTTTGCAATAGGTATTTTTAAGTGGTCAATCATAGTTTTATAAAGTTAACGTCCACCGTGTTTGTAGAAGTAATGGAGGTAAACGACATTAGATTCTGTATACGGTCCTAACACACCTACGAAATAACAACATTTTTTCTACACAAATAAACCAATACGTATATTGTTACAAGTGTACAATGGGTTCATGACTACGTCAGCGTGAAAAGCAGGGCGTAACCTCAGCTTTAATCCAATACAATCTGTATTTGGACATTTACCGTACAACGCAACCTTCAAGTACGCTATCGTAAACAGGGAATCGTACATAAAACCGGCTAACAATACGGCTTAAGATGTTATCCAAGGTGAATAACGTCAAAGGAGATCTATTTTAGGCGACGTTTAATGTCATAACGGTAAAGAACAAATTGTTACATTCCACTTCAATGAGAAATAAAATATTTTAAATTCATAATTAGGTCTTATAAACAATTTTAGTATCCTTTGTGTTCTGTTTGATTCAATTATGGCTTTATTGCGATGTCTCCGATTTACTAAAGCATTAGCAATGAAACAACAGCTTCATCCTATTTCGCACTTCTCACGTAGGCGCGATGGACGTTAATTAAATTGTTCAATTTGTCATAGCTATTATAGACTTACGAAGTTTTATAAGGTAGGTAAGGTATTGGAGTTCTAAGAAGAACATATTTTTGTATTAGCTAGTGGAAACACTGCTGAGGCATTGGTTAAGTATAAAAGTTACTACGTTACTTATCTGTCGCATTTTAACTTAACGATAGTCACTTTTTAGAAGAGTTCGTTATAAATTTATAGGAATAATTGATGGATGATTTTACTATTGACGTCTGCGGATGATAATGTAATCTTGCCCTTAAATTATTTTACATACTGGCGTAAATTATGGTTTGACAAAAATGTATGGCAGATTCTTTTTGACATACACTTCGTTTGACTAAACAGCATACACTTCTTATTAGTCGAGTAAGTTTTTGTTTTGAAGTTAATGCGAAGTGCATTCATTCATTATTAGCTTATCTCACCTGACTGACAATTTTTAAAGCGAATCGAAAGTGAACCAATAACCCAGATCGCTGTTAAGTTTTGTGTACCTATAACGACATTTATTTATTTATTTTTTACCACTTGTAATAAGATTTTGGTGTAAATTAACTACAAAAAATATACGCATAAATATATAGCGCTTTGTTGAAAACGTGGTAGTCCGGTTTCCAGGTTTGAACTATAATTTGAAATATTAATTGTCAAAATTTTCAATCAATAATAGTTTGTAAAGAAAACCTTTTGAAGCAAAATGAATATTTTAATGATTTTATATTAACGAATTCTATAACTTTACACTGTAATAGTGCCCATTACATATAGACAAATACGGACAAATTTAGATTGTACTGAGAAGGAAATCAAATCGGTTGACAGCGTTCAAGGATTTTGATAAATATTTAAGATAAGATAGTACAATGACTTCGTTGTGAAATTATAAATGGAAAAAAAAATCATCATAACCTACGTCAAAACAAACTATATAGAGTTGGGGGTGTAAAAGTATAAGTAAAGTAAAATGTATCTGCATCTGTCGCCTTCTTATTGTGATTGCAGCATTGATTTAACAATTCCTTCATTTTATTTCGTATCATCAGTACTAATTTGTTGGTCCCCGCTGATACGAGAAACGGTTCGATGCGCCATAGCGCCCATAGGTTTACCTATACTTTTCTGGCATTAATTAAATCGTACAATCTTGGCAGATATTAAAGATTAAAGCTTTTTTTTTCAATTTCTATATCAAATCTAACCTTAACCGACTACGTTTTATATTGGAATAGTAATACATGTTGAACATTTAACGGTGGTAGGGCCACGCAGCAGCCTCGGCTGTTGCACGAATGGGCAGGCCCGCCCGGGTAAGTACCACGACCTCATAGAAGACCAGCGTAAAGTGGAAGTATGACAAATACTTTCGCGTTTCGTCTGGTGAGTGAGGTAGCCAGAGCCCAATTTTCAAAAGGTTGTCAACGCATCTGTTACCCTCGGGTGTGGCAGATGTCTATGGGCGGCGGTATTCACTTAACATCAGGTGAACCGTCTGCTCGTTTGACAACTTTTCGCTTAAAATAAAATAAATAAATAAAAAATACATGTTGAAATACAGTATCAATTCAGCGATAGTCTACAGAAAACCACGGAAAAGTCATTAAAAACCTGTAAAAGCGTCGACCATTGCTGCTGGGCGTTAATTATTGACAGCTCGTGTAACTTTTGAGGACTTAACGGTTTTCGTATCTGAAATGTATGCAATCAAATTTATCGATGGTACCTACACTTATTTTGACAATTTGTTTCTGTTTCCAAAACATATTGATTTTTTAATTGGCTCTTTTTTGCATTGTATCTAAAACGTACGTTGAAAATTATATTTTATATACGTTGATACTGACTATAGTCAGTATAGGACTGGTAAAATATTTGAAAAAAAAATATTATTTACTGCTATCTTCGAGTTTAATGTTAAATTGTCATAATTTTTTCAGCGTGCGGCTTTTTTATAAATGTTTTTTATCTTTCCTAAGTACGATTTCGACACTAAGATATTACACCAGGACACCATTATTTCATTTTACAAAACATTTGTTTGTCAAATAGGTATACTGCATAACTATATATGTATTGGGTAACATATAGTGTTTACAGTCTATAAACCTCCTCAAGCATCAATAATTGACGTCAGCTTGACTCTTGGACACTTGGGATTTGATAATCTTTTCAATCCTCCTCTGGTCTACAACTAGTAGATTATTTTTATATACAGAATGTCATATTGGTATAATATTAAAACATCATATTACTCGATTATTGTAATACTAAATAACTTTCTTCCATTCACGTTATGCCGATGTTATTTTGTGAAAAAAATTATGAGCATTGTTTTAATGTACCGACCATACTGCTTTAAAATGTATTAAATTGTTACGATTGAAATAAAATCATTAAGGTTTCATTATATAAATATCGTGTCTTTAAAACGTCTACGTATCCTGTTTTGCGAGATCTGGAAAACCCATGTTAAGGAATCATTACATTCGCACAATAAGTGATACAGCTTTAGCCATTAACCATTTTTATTTACAGGTTTTGCATATATTAACTTCACGCTTTCCTGCTAAATAAATAAAAACATCAAAAAAATATAAGTGTACGAATTAGTTTATAGTTGCCAAATCATTTGCAGAAAAGAAGAAATTTTAGACTGATAGTAGTACAAAAGAACATTCAAGAAGGCAGATGTTAGGAAATCATGTAAAGAAAAAAAGCATCTTTGAATCAACGTGACAGGTATCCAATGAATATAAAATACATAATATCTTCTTAAGGCCCATTTACACGATGCCATTTTCTTGTACATGCAAGAGCAATAATTGAATGCAATAAATTGCGCGCAATAATTGGTTAGACCATTTGTTGTTTAGACCATGCAACTTATTTATTGCTTCAATTTAATTGTATACAACAGGCAAGAAACTGGCACCGTGTAAATGGGCCTTTATCCTTTAAACGAGCAATTCTTGTACATATATATATATATATATATATAATTGGAATCAAGGAAACGGCTCCAGCGATTTTCATGAAATTTAGTATGTGCGTAGATTCGGGGGCGAAAAATAGATCTGACTAGGTTTCATTTTTGTCGTTTTATCCCAGTTTTCAGGGAATGAAAAATATTATTCGAATACGACGGTAAATTTCACCAAAAAAAAAAATGTTATAATAGCTCGGTCGGTAATCGGGCGGCCGCTAACAAACAGCCACGAAACAGAAGGCCGTGGTTCGTATCACGATCATTTACGCACTTATTTTTTTTACTTTTTTTTCGATTCCAGATCATTGCTTTCTTTATCTTTTATTTTTTGTGGATTTGTTATTTTGTTATTTTTTTCCTTTTTTTTTTAAAGTTCTTTCTTTTGTGAAAAACACCAGTTCATATTTTCTTATTATTACGTCGGTAAGATCGAAACATATTATGCATATTTCATTACTTAGTAATTTGTATTTAAATGTGATTTCCAAGATACACGATTTACCAAAAATAAAAACAAACCGAGCAAAGCTTGGTCCTCCAGGTACTATTACTTAAAGATCGAAAAACAAAAATTCAAGGTCACGCAAAATGTGTTGTTTGAAGAAACTATACCTACGTTTATTTGTTTATTTTGAAGCTCTCTTAACGACCCTGTCTTTCCTAATAGGGTTATTACAAGTCATATTCGTATCTTATCCTTTAAACGAGCAATTCTTGTATATATATATATATATATATATATATATATATATATATATATATATATATATAATCGGAATCTCGGAAACGGCTCCAGCGATTTTCATGAAATTTAGTATGTGCATAGATTCGGGGGCGAAAAATCGATCTAGCTAGGTTTCATTTTTAGAAAATGTCCTTTTATCCCTGTTTTCAGGGAATGAAAAATATAATTCG